TCCAGCCCTAATGTCTATGAAATCTATGAAATCTATGATTATGGGGAACGGGCAAGGACTCAAATAGGACTGAGAAGCCAGTTGATTAATGTCACACCTTAAATTCTGACTCAGCCACACATTCAATTAATTAATGTTGTAATGAAACAAGTAATAAGCCACAAAGTTATTCCACAAAAATTGTGTTACCTGCACTGCCCCTGCTGTGAGTCCTCAGCTGATGAGGCTGAGAGGAGCAGCAGCATTCCCTGCACTGCCCCTGCTGGGAAACTCAACAGCTGTGGGGCTTGTAGCAGCAGGAGCCAGTGTAGGGGGAGCCTGGGATCATGATCCTGGGCTCCCCCTGCATTGGCAATAAGGCATGATAGGATCTGATGTGTGATTCACAGAATCAGACCTCTTGCCATGCCACACATGCGTGATAGGGGAGTGTGATTATGGGATCCAGCATCAGATCCAATCGTGCCTTTATCTGAACATCTAGAGGGGCCCTGAGAGTGATCAGGAATTGGAACAGGCTACCTAGAGAGGCTCGAATCTCCATCCTTGGAAGTTTTCAAGAGCAGGTTAGACAGACACTTGGTGGGTTAGGGATGCTCCAGTCTTGAGCAGGGGGATAGTTTAGATGACCTTGTGAGGTCCCTTCTAGCCTTACTTTCCCATGATCCTATGAAACAAAGAACAAAGTTTTACATTAAATATAAACATAAATAAATAATGAGAACAAAGCCTCTACATGCAGAAAGGTGACTAATTCCATGCCTAATAGATATCACACAGAGCTGAATAGATAATGCTGATGAGTTCTCAGAAAGAATATCTGCAAGTATGTGTTTTAATTTACTGAAGAATGGGATTAAAAACAAAACAGCATAACAGAAACCCATGTAATGTGATGAGGTGTAAAAGAGTAAATACATAAAAATATAGAAGAACAAAGTATTTAAGAAGCTAAATCAAAATAACAACACATGATGCATTGCCAAGGCATTCAGTCAGGAGTTTAGAAGGTTTGCAAAATATAACTTAAAATACAAATTTGTAATATTCCTGTAAAAATAATCCCCAAATAACCAAAGCCAGCAAACCTTTTTAAAGAATTGACTTTCCAGCAAAAATAAGCAATCTTTCAAAAGTAACACAATAAAATAAAACATAGCCTCAGGTGCAGGAACAGACATAGAAGTATGTTCTGAACATTCAGGTCGTGTTCTCATCTGTGCCACAGATTTTCTCTGTGACTTCCAGCAAAAGAAAAGAGGCAATAAGTGGTTTAGGATGTCCAGCATGAGCCAGCATGCCTGATTTTCAGAAGTGCTGAAAGCCTATAGCATCAGCTAAAATCAAGGGAAGCTACAGAGGCTTATCACCTCAGCAAATCCATCCCAGGATGCTTCAGGTAGGGCATGAGAGAACGAGATAATCAACACCAATGGTCATTTCTGGATATTTGGGACTTAGTTGGTGATATAGTTTTCTATTGGTAAGTTTGGATTAGTACTGCTTCACAGTGTTGCTGAGAGTTAGTCATATTAATCTAATGACGGGCAGAAGACAGAGCATGGTGGCACCATGGAAGTTAACTGGTTTAGAGGGTCACGGGGTTTTGTAGGCAACAGTGTACTTCATCAGACGCTGAGAAGTTGTTTGTAAAGTTCATTGAGATGTAGACTAAAAGTAGAAATGGGAAGAATGTGCACAAATCACCAGCCCTGAGTGGAGAAGCCCATCTGCCTATCTTGTTGAAACTGTATCTAAGGGCAGTTTCTAACTGAAAGTAGTTCTGTGACGGGAAGTTGGTAATATATATCATGGCATGGCACTTACAGCTCAGGCCAAGGTAAAGATACCATATCACAATACTTATTGAGACACATATATAATTTCTGATAATAATACAAGACGTGCATGTATGCAAAGAGGTTTCCCTGATTGAATGAATCTCTAGCAAGTCTTCCAACCATTTAACAGGCAAATTAAAAAAAAATGTAGGTTACTAGTTCTAGTGATCTATCTTGAGTCCTTTTGTTGAAATGTTTCAGAGAGAAGTTACCTTGTAAAATTCTGAATGTTTGACTTAAAAATCATTATTTTCCATATTACAGCTGCATCAGTAAATGGTTAATCAAGATCTATTCACTCCAGCCATTCATGTGTCTGTTTTAGGTTTTGTGTGACATGGATTTTCAAGGAGGTGGGTGGACTGTGATTCAGAAAAGAACTGATGGGATAATTGAATTCCAGAGGACATGGTCTGAATACCTGGATGGA